TTTTTAGTTTTTGGCGCCACAATAATGTATATCCGTTTTTCTCGACAATGACGAATAACAATTGGATTCCTTTTTTACCGTCAAATTAAACGACATGCTCGGTTTCGTACTCCAGTTACACGTAATTCGGATTATGTGTTCGATGTATTAATTGTATGCGATCGACAGTTTCGTGTTATTTATATTAACTATCAATTAAAGGAACACTTAAAGAGTATGAATTAACTAATTATTGCAAGTGCATTACACTTGCAAGGGGGAGTGTAGAAACTGTATGAGACGTGCTCCTCAATAGTTGTTGTTGTAGTCACTTAATCTACTCATTGAAGTATGCATTAGAAATTAGATTAGAATTGAGTGTGATTAGAGAAGTCATAGAATTAGAACAGATCGAAGTTGGAACCTTACTTGAGTTTACGTTGAATAATTGAAGTTATACAGTCCTCTATTGGAATTAGAATTTGAGCCTAAACAATATATCGTTGTCTTTCTGATCCTGTATCTGTAGTACTTAACTTGAGCCACCAGCATATAGCAATTTCACACACCTTTAAAATACCTATATTAGTAATAGACTCCGTCAATCAATAATGACTATGGTTTATATCACAAAATTTTTAAAGTTAGTAAAAATGAATGTTCAAAGCTTGCACTTGTTCAAGTGGCTGATAAGTCCGATACGGGCATGGCAGTCTTTCCCACATTTTCATATGAAGTCAATTCTGATGTTATCCTGACACACTTTTCTTTACTTTTGCATTCTTTTTTCTCTGCTTTGATGTCTATCCTTGTGTTTTCAGCATGCTTGGTACCAGCACGGTTTTGTTGCCTCCATGCCGGCCGATCGGTAGCAAGCAACTCCCAATCGTCAATGCTTGAGGCTTTGAGATCACGTTTGCACACATCCTTGAAGCGTAGGAGTGGCCGTCCGGTGGTACGAGCTTACCATATAAAAGTTGTTTTGGGATTCTATCAATTTCCATTCTTTTTACGTGCCCAAGCCATCTGAGACGACGATGGCTGAGCATTGACTGAATACTGGTGGAATTTGCTCTTTTCAAGACCTCAGTACTGTGGATCCTGTCTTCCCAGTGGATTCCAAGGATTCTTCTCAAGTGGCGTAGATGGAAGCTATTCAGTTTAGGTTCTTCCTTACTGTAGATAGTCCAAGATTCACTACCATACAGAAGTGTACTAAGTGCACATGTTTTATAGATTTGCATTTTGGTATTGATGATGAGATTTCGTTTTTTCCAGACTCTCTCTTCTAATTTGGAATAGGCTGCCGCAGCTTTCCCTGTTCTTGCATTTATTTCGTCTGTAAAGAAGAGGCCACTTGATATAGTTAATCTCAAGTAGTTGAATTTGTTTGCATTTTCAAGCTCGTTTCCATCTATTTTTATGCTTGTATTTGGATCTGTTACTCCTTGAGCAAGTATCTTTGTCTTCTTGATGCTTATTGTCGGACCAAAGGCCTTACATGCATGGAATAGCCTATCCATTAGCTTCTGGAGACCAGCTTCAGAATGTGCCACTATTGCAGCATCATCAGCAAAGAGAAGATCTCTAATTAGGGCTGAGAGTACCTTGGTCTTGGCACATAGGCAGGCTGTGCTGTAGAGTTTGCCATCACGGGTTCGGATGTAGATACCTTCTGAAGGGTCACCAAAGCGTACATTAACATAAGAGCGAATAATATTCCAAGCAGGTTTGGAGCTGATACATCTCCTTGTTTAACTCCACTCTCAATGCTGAATGGTTCAGATGTATTCCCATCAATAGTAACAGTACCTTTCATTGTTTCATTGAAGGATTTTATTATGCTGAGCAAGGTGGGGGGACATCCTATTTTTTCACGTAGTTTAAACAGTCCACTTCGGCTTACTATGTCGAATTCCTTTGTAATGTCAAAAGCAATTAAATGTGGCATTCTTTGTTCTCTGCATTTTTCTTGGAGCTGGCGTAAAGAGAATATCATTTCTACTGTCGATCTTCCCTCCCTGAATCCACACTGTGAGTCAGAGTAGACACGTTCAGCATGTTTTTGGAGTCTTCCTAGCGCAACTCTGGCATAAAGCTTCCCAACAATCAGAAGTAGCGATATACCACAATAGTTGTCGCATAAACCACGATCACCTTTTTTGAATAATGTTGATATGCTAACGTCTCTCATTTCTTGAGGCACAGCCTTTTCTTTCCAGCATTGCAAGAGGAGATTGTGTAGTGGCTTTAAAAGGATACCCTTTGCATGTTTTATTTATTCTGGAGGTATACCATCTATAGCCGATCAATAGCCTTGCTTACTTCATCAAAGGTGGGTTCAGTGTCTAGTTCGAACATAACAGGAAAATTTGGAATTGCTTTCAGGGCTTCAGGTGTTACTTTGTTTTTGGTATCCTTTTTATACCCTATCAAATATGTTTTTGGTATCCTTTCAAATAATTAAAGAGACTAGCTACAGTTAAAATACCTATAGTACACAATTGATAACCTGGTAATAAGAAATAAATAAATAAATAATCAACTACAACCGAAAATACACTTAAAGCACAAATTACAATACTGATTATTGCTTTTTAGTAACCTTAATTGAATTTGCCTGTTTCTCTACTTTTAGTACAATTTTTCACGCTTTTCTACCTCCAAATGAAAACTTATATCCGGAGTTTTTAGGCAACTTAAAGGCAGTATCTGTATTTGGCAGTATCTGTGTGCCTTTGCCTTTCTTTCCCACAAAGAGATCTCGAAGAATGATAAGGGCTTACACCAGGAGCGGATCCAGCAAAAACCTGACTGAGTTCCAGGCCAAGGCTAGGGACTTTCAGATAATGCATTGATAATTGTGCATAAGACAACATTATTATTCATATTTATGCATTTTGGTACCATTGAGGGTACTATCCACTCACTAACTCTAGATTATAGATTTCTTTCCGACAAAAAACAGTGCCTCTGTGAAAATTGTTGCAACCCTCCTCCTTTCTCAATACCCTTTTGTTTGTCTTGGATAGAGACTACGATAAACCTTTGAATTTTTAGGTTACTTGTTTCAGGCAACACTTAGCTATATGTTGGAAAACTGACTGAGTTCTGTGCATCAAGGAACTCACTCTGGATCCGCCTCTGCTTACACCACAACATACATTGGTTTGACGCTTAAGTTATATCGTTCTAAAATATATAGCTAGTCAAATAGATCCCTGGCTTTGATCACAGGAGAAATTTTGGTTCCTAGCGATTCTCAAAATATATTCTCATTCATGCGTTTACACGGGACCGGTTCCATTTGGCGATTCAAAGTACCGCCGCATATAGCTGAACGCGCCAACTCAACATTTCGCTAGCGTAGATTCCAATTTCTGATTGGCTGAGAGATTCAAAATCTCTTGTTGGCCAATCAGAGTTAAAAAATCCTGGCACTGGTCAGCAAACTTTCATATCTTTACATGAAGCTATAGAAAATCGTACAGAGAATTGGACCTTCTTATTCGTCTGTCGTTGCTAACCTTAAGCATTGAGCGAACATTGTTGTCTTTAATTACAAATGCTACAAAATTTCACGTTGTTTCGAATAGCGACTGACTTTGTATTAGTGAATCAGAAGAAGTTTAAATGCGGATAGCTGTTTGAATTCTTAACTATCCTCGATTTGATAGTACGGAGAGGCAAAGCTAATGGAAACGAGTGCAAAGAAACAAATTTTGATGCCAGTATACTGATTTTTGCAACTCTCCTTCCTATCCTTACTCATTTGAAACCTTCTTTCAGGACCGTTCCAAATGGAGCTTTTTCTAGGCGATCCCTACTTGGTACAGCTAGCAGTTCCATTTGGAATGTTCCAACGGGCCCCATGTATAAAGATGACCTAAATAGAGTCATTTAAGTACGGTTCCGAATGAAACTGGTTACATGTAATCACTGCCTCTGTATCAAGGGTATTCTGAAAGCGTCGAAGCTGCTGTCAGTCACAATAGAATTCTAAAGTGATGACGTCACAAAAAATCTATTTTAAGAATTCTTGAATTTAGATTCCATAGCCTGAAAGAGCATCATGAAATTCCTCTAAATATGCAAAATCAGTCAAATGTGTTACCAATTGGCTGAGATATGGTCACGTGTGTATTGGCTTTTTCCCAATCAAACCTCTATGTTTTTTTCTCTGTTCATAACTTTATGAACAGAGCAAAAATAGCAGTGATCCGTTAGCAAACTTCAAATATTTCATTGTGATTAATTCTAAGAATAGGTTTTGATGACGTCACACTTTAGAACTCTATACTGCTGTCGGGATGATGTCCAGCTGCCCTACATAGAAACTTTGTATCATAAGCTTACATAGACACTTCGAAGGTATCAAACTTGAAAGTCTTTACTCTTTGTTATAAAAAAGATAAAGAAATAGATCAAGAGAAGAATCCTGTAGAGCTCCTCAATACTCCCTCTACTATAATCCGCTCCAATAAATCGACAACACTGTTTTCAGTTTTCAAGATAACTGTCAATTACGTTTCTAAAGAACTGGAAAAGACATTCATTCACTCATTGATTTGGAAATCGACGTAGTTAAGAGATATGCTGTAATTTTGTAGAGATATGCAACCAATGTTTAAGAGGGCAGGTTTAATTGATCTTAAGGCTAATATAATCTGCTTGCCTGAAGTAGAGGCTAGAAAGTACGAGGGGCTTCTCCATAATGACTTATTCTCTCCAGGTGAAGGCGCTAAATCTCCCGGAATGACAATTATTTACCATTTTCGGTCTGCATCCTGTAAATGTTTGAGTTGGGTCCTTTTTCGGCTACAATGGGGATTATTATACACCAGAGTCCCCCGCCCAAATAACTGTCAAATTGTATACATTTCCTTGATAACGGTGTACTGAATATGAATAATACAATGGCACTCCAACCTTAATACCCCTTCCTCCTCAATATGAATTTCGTTCCGACGACACTTGTTTCCGTTTCAAGGAAAAAGCACTGGAAAACAGGAGCCTGTGTTGAAGCGTTCTAATTGTCTACTGTACAACTGTTTGCAAAACTCTAGTTGACGTTGGATTTATTTCTTCTGGTATGGGCTTGGTTTTGGCTTGGTAATCGTAATCTAAAACGTTTTTTGCTAATCCTTAAGTGCAATGAAATCGCTGAATTTTGCGGGTTTTATATTAGCTGTCAGCAAACAGTTCGACATTGACAGTTTATAAACATCTATACAAAATTTGGTTCCCTGCGCAGTAACCTCTTTGAAGCAGCAAATCAGATGACTGAATAAAACCAGCAACTGTGTGAGATGGTTCTTAGATTGCCACAACGAGCTTCAAAGATACCACATAAAGCCCCCGTACAAAACCAATTGGAAATGGAAGCCAGGGACTTATACTGGATAGCAGCTTTGATTATCGGTTCGTCAGCAATAGCTGCAAATTTGACTGTGATTGTGACGTTTTGTCGCTTCAAAAGACGAATTTTGCGTCGCAAAGTCAACAAATTTCTGCTATCACTTGCCTTCGCAGACCTGCTTGTTGGCGTGTTCAGTGTGTCATTAGCGTCGTGCTTGCTGTCCAACCAACACGGAATGGTATACAAAGTGGCTGGTAACATTCCCCTCTTTGGTAGTTTTTTCGCATCCATTTTGTCTCTGTCGCTGTTGTCTTTTGACAGATTAATAGCAGTTGAAATGCCGCTAAGGTATTGCTCGATTGTGACTTGCAGGCGCATAGCAGTTGCTCTTGCTTCAAATTGGGGGTTTACCTTTCTAATGTGTGTACAGCAATATTCTTTTTATTTTGGCTTTTCTTACCGAGTTGAGCTGAGAGCACGTGGAACAATAATGATTATATGCTTTTTCGTTGGTGCAACGATACTAACCCTCACAAATGTGTTACTGTACAAAGCTACAAAGGAGCAGTATTTAAAGACTACAGAAAGTGAAGGTTTCTTTCATATAGAGAAAAGCTGCGGAGAAGATACCGGGAGAGGCGATACGCCGAAAAGGAGACGCCCAAAGATGTCGGATCTAGCAGCAACTAGAGAATGTTTATGCATCGTTCTAGTTTTCATTTGCTGCTACCTGCCGTTGTCGTTTTACCGTCTTATTTATACATACGGCTTTACTTTCAATGATTTGCACGGAAGGAGAATATGTCTTTTAATTGCGCTACTTAGTAGTGTTATAAACCCATGGATCTATTTCTTCAAGCGAAAGCATTTTAGGGCCTTACTTTCAAAAAGACCTGCAAAACCGGATGAAGAAACTTTCAATCTGTAAAGTTACACGAATGAATAATAAATGCAAAGGGAACATTTCTTGCAATATGTCAGATAACAAGGGATTTTAATTTATCCAAGCAAGCAATAAAGCGATTATATAATTGTTGTCAACTAGTATGAATCCATGCTGCCCATAATCGGCTTTCGATATACAGATCTGTATATAAGAAGAAGAGCTGCTAAATCATGACCATGTGCGAAAAACCTCCAAAGAAAACACCAGAATATTCAATCAAAATTACTGTTTACTTGTCTGTCATAAAGTGCTTAATGCTATAAAGGCAGAACTGTAAACGCAACAGTTGCCTGATTACTTGATTAAGTTTGAAACTCGGTCAGAGAAGCAACTCAAAACCGTCCTGTTCTATACACCAAAATCGTAACGTACGAATTCGTCGGCAACAGTAAGCAAAAGTAGCTTGCCCTGGGTACCAGAGCCTCATTAATCCGGAGATAAAGTATTGCAGACAGCTGCGATTTCTCACTCAAAAAGATTATCTGAGACTGGAGACTCTGGTACCCTGGGAAGATGTAGCTTTGTTCCTGAACTAGATTTGCACTTTTGTTTGTGATCACAACTTCCTCTTTATTGCATTTTTGCATATTTTGCACATTTTACTTGTAACCCTTATTGGCCATGTGTACTATGCTGAAGGTATTAACAGACTAACGCAGTTTAATTAACGCAGAAGTAATAATATGAATAACTGACTTACCTAATACAGAAATACTCTTTGATATATTTATTGTAATGTTCTAGAAGTTTCTAGAAAAGTATCATTCCAGAAGGTTCGAGAAAGCGGAAAGATTTATTTTACAAAAAATAGAATTTAACTAATACTACGAATGTACTAGAATGATATGAAAATATGAAAAATAAACTAGAATGTTATACAGTATCTAAACAATCTGGTATGAGTGTATGTTTCCAACATATTATTTAGAATAGGGCATATTTCGTAGCGATCAAATTGTCATCATCAATAGAGTAATATACATAATAGTAAAAAATGCCAAGCAAATTAGTCCGAATATGACTAGCAAAGTGAAGAGAAGACAGCTATGAATTCTGACATATTCCGTAAAATAAGTTTATTGCGGCTTATATATGAGCTGTAATTACATTATTGGTGTTTCATCGACAAAATTAAGTTTATCTGAGGTGTAGAAATAAATTTTGTAGAAAATATAAGTTGCAGATGTATGAGGATATTAAGTCAAAGAAGAGACTTGTCCATTGGTTTGACAAAGTGTATCGTCTCTTCCGTGATCTGATGTGTACTCGCATAACGATTAAGCAACCATCTGTATGTTTTATTAACATCAACCTAAGTTCTAGAAGTATATCTCTTCTCAGCAAATTGCTCTCCCTATTTTTACCTAATGCAGGATCAAAGTCATATTGAAATAATTTTATTAAAATAACTTCAAATTCAGTACGGGAAAAACAAAAGAATTACATAAAAACTGCAAGTCAAGGTGGATAATACCCTGGGTTCCAGAGCGTCAAGTGTAGCAAGTGGGGCGTCGAGGAAATACACTGACGCTCTGGAACCCAGGGTAGGTAGATAAGAAATTTTAATTAAAGTATCAGTCACGTGGGATTAACCTGAAAAATTGGTTCTAGTATTCCCTGACCGGAAGTATGCTGATGACTCGAAAAGTACTAGGGATTGAGGAAGTTTGAAAAGATGACGAAATGTGGAATTTCAGGCGGAAATAGTTTATAATGAGGACATTCAAATGTTATAAAAAGTATTTTTAGTTTCTCTTGTACCTTGATTGTTAGATATACTAGGAAAAAATGTTAGATATTTTATAGATTTTATGAAAAGAACACATTCCGGCCCTTCCGTTTTGGAAGCTTTCTAGCATCTTCATTTTTCCAAATATAAGAATATACTTCAGATATAATCGTAAAATCTGGCTATTCTCGGGAGTTTAGAAACGTTACATAAAAAATTGGAATGGCATAAAAAAATTGATGTTTCATTCAACGATCTTTTTGTGGTACAAAAATTAAAAATGGCTTTGATAAAGCAAACATTTGAGCTGGAGCTTTTCGTCTGACACTCTTCAGAGTATAAAACGTCAGAACATAGATCAAAACACTATGCTAGGAAATATATATACCCAGTTGTGGATCGAAATAGGCCAATCAGAAACGCGAGCACATGACTGTTGAGGCTGTCCAATCAGTGCCGCTTGCCTATTGAAAATGTTACCAATGGAGTCCTAGGGTGAAAACGAACTCCTTCTGTCTACACCGCTTTTGTAATCTTTTGTGAATCTCCCTTTGTCTGCATCGTTTCTCTTTCAACTGATAGCATTGATAATCCTTACGTTGTATGGAGTCAATGGACAGGTGATAAGCACGTAATTATGATAACTTGGTCTATACCAATCATTAGGTATGATATCATGCTTTTTGGATCGATATCCTTGAAGATAAAATCAAAAGCTGTCATCATTTCAAAGAAGAATGATACAAAAGAAGAATCCATTATACGAGTTGTCTATCAACAGCTGCAAAACCTGATTTTTAGAACCTTTTAGATTTTAGATATTGCCAGGGAATAAGCCATGAACGATTTTTTTTAAAAAGGTTAGAAAAAGCGGGCATCTAAAGACACACTAAAGCTTTTTACTTGAGAGAATAGTGATAAAAAATGTGATCCTGCGGGTCTAGAACAACCTAAAATACTTTTGGAATCGCAAAGGTTTGTTATGAAAACATTTAATCTACTGCTGGTACTCCAGAATATTGCACCCAAACATTTCATCCAATCTTCAATTTCTCATCATATTCATCAATCTCTGTTTACATTCAACGCCTACACTCTACACTTTACACTCCCAATCTGTATACCGCAAAAATAATTTCTCTAAAGACACTCCCAATTACAAAACATAACAATAAAAGGTATTAATGAGCTAAATATTAGTATTATGTGATTTGCACAATTGCTCTGTAGCCAATCATATATAAAATCTCAAGATGAAGTGTCAAGCTTAACAAATTAGTCATTAGTGTAACATAAAAACAACAAGAATATCGCTTATTGCGATGCTTTCGTGGGACTGTGATGCTGCGCAGCGCAAAGTTCCCCCACACGGTTGCTTAACGGAGGATATACGATATTTGCCAAAAACAGGGTTTGCAGCCCCATGCTCCAACGCTCTGTGTTTCAAATTAGTTTGCTTGTTATTGTTACAACCTACCGCTGGGTCATTTTTAGCATACTTACTAAGAGAGAGGGGCGATTGCCCCTCAAGCCCAAATAATTTTCTATTGTTTTAAACAAAAGGCAATTGTCATTTTTATTCACCTCGAAAATGCTCTGACTTGTCTCAAGGTGGTTTCAGGTGATTTGCATGTGATTTCAGATGATTTCACGTGATTTCAGGTCGTTTCAGGTGATTTCAGGTGATTTTAACTTTTATAACATACGGTCTAAAAGTCTAAATAGATATATTTAGCTTGAAGATAATAAAAACAAAGCTATAATTAAAGAAGATACTAGGAAAATGAACAAAAAGGGGCTCCCAGTTAAAAAGAACTGCTACTACGTAAGATCTGTTAGAGTAAGCTTTCCAAAGTTGTGTTAGAGTTCACTTTCCAAATATTTTCTAAACCTATTATTGCAAGAAAGTCAGGGGGCTATAGCTGTGCGGTGCCTGGGAATAACAGAAAGTTGGCCACTCTCCGCACTCTAAGTGGAGGTCTTTTCGTGTCAGTAAATCGAGCCACAGAACCTTTTTGTCCTCAGCCACTGGTCCTCTCAAGACAATCTGGCTGCTGCTAGAAAATTTTTTTCGAGTTTCTCGATCTTGTATCCGCGACCAAAGTTAATCAAGCTCGGGACCTACCTGGCTAGGGCTTACTGAGAATATATTTGGGTATACCTTCTAACTTATATAGCTTTCTACTTTTCAAAAACTCAAATAAACAAAAAATTTAATTCTTGTTGAAGCAAGAGCCTTGCATTATTCTTTAATTATTCTTAAATTTCGGCGATTTTGAGCCTTAATATTCTTATAGACTATATTCCTATATAAAAAGTGTGTACACTGCATATTTCCAGTGGCGAAGCTAGCGGTCATGCTGGTCATGCTGAGCATGACTAAAAATTTTCAGAGCTAAAGACATTTATTATAATGATTAAAACTTTTCTTTATTGAAAAAGTACCCTCAAAACTCCATTCGTCCAGTTGATTCTTATTATTTCACTGCCCTTCCCTACCTTGGTCCCTTGTGGTTAGTCATGCTCATTCTGGAGAGCATGACCTGCCATAGGGTTTCTTTCCTCAGAGAGCCCAACCGCTCCTGTGAGTCGGCTGAGTTTCAATGACTTTTCAGTTGGTATCCCTGCGGTAAGTCATGCTCATTTGGAATAGCATGACCTCGTCATTATAATCATAAACCTAGCACTGATTTGATTGGCTGAATTCTATCTTGCGCATGCTATCTTGGCCCGTTTTGGACCCCAAGTCATGCTCATTTTTTTCAGCATGACCGACCTAAATCTCCCATACATGAAGTATCTAAGGTCTACTTGTGAGCTGAGAGACATTGCTGCAAGGGAGTGGGGAAATTCAATCGAAGCTATTTCCGAGAGATATATTGTTTATTAACTGCTACAGGAATCACTTGCGTGTGGCTGAGCAAGGTAATTGTAAACCAAAATTGTAATTGAAAACCAAAGGCCGACCCTTATAGATGAAGAATCCTACCACTACGTTGCTGATCATACCATAACTTGTTGCTGATGGACGAACTTGTACCCTGAAACTTGCCTGTGTATTCAGTATTTCACCAAAACCTCTTGCTCATGGAATTGTACTCTTGAAAATTTCCTGTTTTGTCAAAATCACACAATAACCTGTTGCTGATGGATGGAATTTTACATGATGGATGGAAATTGCCTGTCCAATCTATCTGGTTTATTCAATATTACAACCTTACTTGTTGCTGAGAGGGACGAACTTGTACTTTGAAAACTTGCCTGTTTATTCAATGTTTCACCAAGACCTGTTGTTGATAGAAAGAATTGTGCTCTTAAAAATTTCTTGTTTAGTCAATATTACAACATAACTTGTTGTGTATAAAATAAAATTCAAATTGCATCTTGCAATTTGCCTGTTATTTAATATTACACCATAACTTGTTGCTGATAAATGAAATGGTACCCTGAAATTTGCCTGCATTCAATATTACACCAACTCTTTTTTTGATAAATGAAATTGTACTCTTATATTTCCTTGTTTATTCAATATTACACCATAACTTTTGTTGATAAATGAAATTGTACCCTTAAATTTGCTTGTTTATTCAATATTACTCTATAACTTTTGTTAATACATGTATGTAATTTGCATTGTACCCTATGCAATGCAAATGTATTGTATCCCTGTCATTTGCCTGTTATTCAATATTACACCATGACTTGATGATGATAATGAAATTGCACTCTGGAACTTGCCTGTTATTGGATATTTGACTATAATTTGCTGATGGATAGAATTTAGAAATGATTTTTAATCACACTATATATGTAGCTTCCACACAGCCAACCTTCTCAATGCAGTTTGATTTCCCCAGGGCTTTCGGTTGCCAGGAAAACTATGGGGTTTCTTAAACATGGAAGACCAAAGTTATATGAAAGCCCTTGATGTTGGGCTTGGACGTAACTTGTTGATGTTTATGGCATGTTACACCTTAAATACAGGGGTCAAAACTTTTTGTATATGCTAAACAGTACTATCCTTGATACATTTGTTTTAGATATGTAAAAATTAAGCTTATAAAATTGAAGCTAAGTATAAAATTCTGAACCAAGAAACAAGCATCCCACAATTCCCTGTATCATAAACAAGGGAGGGCCTACCTATCACTGAGGGCTTATCTTGCCTAATTCATCTTAATTCAGAAACATCATCAAAAGTGTCAATAATTAATAGTAAGAGAATGGATATTTCTTAGCCCTTGCTGATTTAAATAAGCTGATTTATCAAAAGTTTAGATTTTGAAAAATATTTGTAGATATAATATTCTCTCATCTGCAATGTTTTCCAGTATGATCAGTAGTGTTTGTTGGGGTTTTTCAAATGCACAATTTTTCAAAAACATTGTCCCAAAGGTATTTCCAAAACACAACATTGGAGAATGGGGTGGAAAGAACATTTAGATGTTGAAGTCCTTGACATCATTGATTGTGATCTAAACAAGAGCTATTTGATTCAATATACTAAAAAGGGCGTTACCCCCCGTTTCCAAGCATCTATAGGGTGTGGTTGTGTGTAATTTTCTCCATCCCCAGACCCCCATCCCCTTTCTCTCCCATACAAAGCATGACCATTGACTTAAGGCCAGCTTCGCCACTGCATATTTCCCGAAGTTTCCATTTACAAAATCACACTTTTAGTATGTCAATTTGCTTTGTTACACACTCGACGTACAACTCGCTGAATCGCACTGACTAATGGAAAATTTCGACCTTACTCTTCTCCTACGTATAAATACCTTTTTAATAGTTCAAAATAATTGAATGAACGATCCTGGATTTCCATTACACTCATTCTTCTTATAAGAAACAAAGGTCGATGTTGAGTACTCCAGTTTCTTAATGTTTTGGAAATTTCAATACTCATTGTTTCTGAAGAGTTTCTTAATTATTTATGATGTCATGAATTTTATATTTGGGGTTCCTTATAATTAATTTTTCATGCTAGGAAGAAATTTTAGTTAATGTTAGGAACTATAACAGAAGATGAGAGACTTTGAATCAATTTTTTTTACTTTTCCAAAGACAGTAACACCTTTGTAGAACAAAACGGAAAAAACAGCAACAAAAAATGACTATCAAATCTTACTAAAGTAAAAGTACTTCAATTCCATCAATGTCTTTTAAAGAAACCTCTTGCAATTTTCTGTTGCACCATGATATTGCTCCAACAAAAAACTTTCTTCATAAAAAACTTTCAATTTTCTGCCAACAAGCTCATGAGTGTAGTCAAGGTCAGCTTCATAATCGACCTTTTCTTTCTCGTTGTCAATGTGCTGTTCAAAGTTCTCTGTGATTTCTTTGTTGTCGACTTGCTACTGCTGGTTACTCACAGGCTGGTACCTCTGCTGGCCCGGTCATTGGTAAAGGAGGTGGAACAACAACATGAATTTTAAGGATTTCTTTAATCGTCGGCAGATCCTTCAACTGTTATCAAACATCCGGTTTTCTCGATGCATCTGGACCCAACTTTTTCAAAATCTTCAGCAGAAAACTTTTCTGTAGCATTTCCAACCCAAAGAGTCAACAATATTAGTCTCTTTTTGCATCGAGAGAATCTTCAGAGTTCATAACCACAAATCTATATTATCTTTTTTCTCTAACCAGTCGTCTTGCTCTGCCTGTATAAGGGATTTTAGTAATCTACCATACCCACAATCAACTGGCTACCATATGTCTGTTGCACCTGCGGGGCCATACCACACTATTCCACCGAGACTTTTGACTGCTGGCTGAAACTGAGCAGTAGCTTGGGCCTCCAATTTATCACAGAAAAGAACAAATTCCTTGAGTTTGCTTACTGCTGGGGCAAATGTACGTTCGACCCAATTGATACTGAAAGCCGTATCAGCCCAGGCACCGCTTTGCTAGAAGACGTCATCCCCTTAGTGATAGGCTGCTATTTGATCTTTACTAATTCGTCTCCCAGAACCACGAAAAATTATTGCTGTTTTTATTAAAGTTTTCTGGTCCAAAAGCCACTTGTAGAGTGCACTGGCTCTTATCCAGGCCACTTTGGCCGTCTCAACCATACCCTATGGTGCGATATTTCTTCCTTTGCAACAGGAACTTGGTATGTTGTTTTGCGATCGACCGCGAATAGAAGTGGGACTTGATCTACGTTAAATCTCCTCTCAGGTGGAAACCTTACCCATTTTGGATCAAAGTCAGCTCTTTCACTGCCCGTGGCAAATAATGCTGCTTTTCTGCATGTTTTTCCCTGTACGCTTCTAAGTTTGATCTTGTACCTTCGAATGAACTAACTAATTGTGCTGAAGGGAAATTTATTTGACGGTTGTGGATTTAAAGACTGGTTTATCTTTGTTGAGGAAAACCTCCAATCTCGCTGGTACCAGAATAGAGAACCCAAGAGCAGAAATATGGATCCAAGAAAATACAACTATTTGCTTTACATCTCCGTCTTTTTCCAAATCTCAAACGATTACAACACTACGACGACTCCTACGTCGAACACTCTTCTTTTTCTAATAAATTTGTGGGATATATACGTTTACTTATGTTGCTAATTAGTTCTGAGTCATGAACTTTTAATTATAACTACCAATCAACTTGCATATATGTTAGTCAGATGTTTATTTAGGATAAGCATAATAACTTAATCAGCGGGCGTGGTATAACTATTTCCAATAACCTCGGACGGATTCAGCTAAAAGCGAGGTTTTGACGCAAATGCTACTCTAAAACAACAAGAAGAAAATACTTGCATGACTAACAAAGAACCCGACGGAATCAATGAACTAATTGTAAAAATACACGTGCTATATGCAAAATGGCGGATTCCCAACAATCTTAATTGTATGTGTGTGGAGACATGTTAAGGAACTTTTCATGCCTTTTGAACGAGCTTCGACAAACTTCTGGTAATGCCGGACATAAATCTTGTTATGTTTGTTGGAGGGTCGATTTCTGTTAGAAGCTTCTTGTGTTCCAGTGCTGCAGAATCGACTATGCAAGCTTCTTGTTGCTTCTATTTTGTTACTTATGATTTGCTGATGTTAAACTTCTTGGCAATGTTTGTGACACATTCCTTTTCCTCATTCAAACTGTCTTGAATTGAATTGTGTACGATTTTCTCTCAAAGGCACCTCTCCTCCCTTTCCCTTTTTCGTGAAAAGTTGTTTCCAGTTAGCCATTCTCATCATCGCTGGTCCTGTTATTTTCACGTGGCTAGCGGCCTTACGTGATTTGCTTTCGAAGCTTCTTCGTTTTTCTAATCCAAGGTCTTGCCTTCTTTTTCTGTAAAAATTCTGCTCAGTTTCTCAACATCATGGTG